ATCGTCGTCGACTTCGATTCTCGAATCGAATTTAAAGTTCGATATCGAGTTTCGTCGTCAACTTCGATTCTCGAATCGAAATTTAAAATTCGATTTCGATTATCGTCGTCAACTTCGATTCTCAAATCGAAATTTAAAATTCGATTTCGATTATCGTCGTCGACTTCGATTCTCGAATCGAATTTAAAGTTCGATATCGAGTTTCGTCGTCAACTTCGATTCTCGAATCTAAATTTAAAATTCGATTTCGATTATCGTCGTCGACTTCGATTCTCGAATCGAATTTAAAGTTCGATATCGAGTTTTGTCGTCAACTTCGACTCTCGAATCGGATTTAAATTTCGATATCGATTATCGTCCCCAATTCTGACTCCCATTGCAACCTTGCTTACTTCAGAGATATCTAAAAGGCAAATTTTAATTAGTTCAAAAAGGCATATTGAATTAGATTATTTAATTAATTTAAAAAAAAAAAATTTCTTACCAAACCAATTCTCTTCAATGATATCGTCATCTAAATTTTGAATTTGCTCATCAAGATCAACTATTTGGATTGTTTCAGGGATGTTTTCCTCATCGTAAATGCCTCTGATAAATAATTCATCAATTAAACTACAATTTCCACGAGGTTTATCACCATAAACAAGTTCATACGGCGTTTTTTTATGTGATCTACAAATGGAATTATTCATAGACAAAACTACCAAACGGAGTCCAAATGACCAGTCATTTCTTCCGGTATATTCTCTCCACTTTCCTAATCTTTGTTGTAAAATACCGTTTGCTCTTTCTACTAAACCTTGGGATTGAGGGTGGCGAGGTCTTCCATTGATAATTTTAACAGATGGCCAAATATTAACAAGTTCTTTAATTACTTCAGCACAAAATTCTTTTCCATTATCAGACTGCAAAATAGATGGAGAAGATCCAATAATTTGAAATAAATCAAACAAGTAAGCTGCTACTTCAATGGCTTTTTTTGATGTAAGAGGTTTAGCCCATGAAAATCTTGTGAAATGATCTCAAATATGACAAATATATTTATAATCTCCATCAATATCATAAGATAAATCAATCAAGTCGATCTACAAATTTTTTAACAAAAAATTAATATTTTTTTTTAAATTAAAAATTAAAAATTATACTTGCCTGTAAACGAGACATAAAATTTTTTGCAATTATTGGTTTACATGCCAAGGGATGACAGTAAGGTTTTCTAGTTGCACATATAGTGCAATTATTGACAAATTTTTCAATAATGGTTTGTCTTAAAAAACCCCAATGTTGATTAATCGATTGCCATAATTGTTTTTGACCTGCATGATTATCAACTTCGGCATGAGTTCTGCATAATACTTCATACATATTTTCAACTACTAAAACAGGTTTATTACAACTTCTAACTATAATTCTATAATCTCCTGGAATAATTTCCTCAAGAATAAAACGTTTTTTAGCCCAGTCTCTTGTATTTTTATTATCTGTATTTATGTTAGAAGGTTCAAGTAATATTTTTTTAATTCTTGCTAAAAGTTCTAAATTAACTAAAGCTTTTTCTTGACGGCTATTTGGCAGATTAGATAAATAATGGTTTACAATACCATTAAATGTAACTTTGCTTATAAAATTGTATTCCATATTTATTAGTAATAAAATGAACAAAAATTTTAGTGCAAGACTTTGATATTCTCACGGTTGATCACAGCTATTATTTTTATTAAACACCTCAGTTGACAACTGATGTACCTCAGATGTCAATCATCACCTGAGGCGCATCAAATGATGATCGATATTTGAGGTGCCTCAGTTGTCAACTGAGGCGATTCGACATCTGAGGCACAACATATACACATTATGTGAAATTAGAACAAATGGTCAAGCATTTCACGTTGTTAGTTATTGATAAGTTTATTTACTATAAATTTTGTATATTATCAATTTTTTATTAAAAATGAATAATGATTATTAATATAATCGATATAATGATGTAAAGTATCATCGCATCGATGTCATTATATATATAGTCCGAATGCAATTGATATATTGTTCTAAAGTAACCAAATGATTTAAGCACTATTTTTAAAACAATTATTTTTTATTGTAGGGATGAGACGAACAATTTTTTTGATATAAAATAAAAAAATTATTGTCAGTAAAATTCTAAACAGTTTATTTAATTCATATTCATGTTTAATCAACGTCAGCTCTTTGAATTATATTTATAAATAATAGAATTGAATTAATCTTGACATTATAAAATCATTTCTTACTGTACTTTTAATATTTGGAAGAAATTTGCTTATTACTAATAATAAAATACAGTAAACTAATCGAACATCTATGAACCTTTAATTACATGAAATACATGTCAACTAAAAGGGATAGTTAGATGTTCCATCTTTCATCATTAAAATTAAGATCACACTATATCCTCTCCATTATTCTAACTAATCTACCCGTTTTACGAACTTTAAAGGAAATATAAACTCTTTAATATTTATAACCTTCTTCATATTAATCCAATGGGTTATAAACCTCCTACGATTTGATTTATCTTTTAATTTTTGCAACAGGAATAGTAGGCCCTTTTATTATGAAACGTTTATTGTATCCATACCATCGATAGACCCTAAGGAATATTTCGGTGCAAATAGACTTTCTTATAAATCCATTTGGGAAATAAGGCAAAGTATTGAGTTTAATGATTATTTATCCATAACTTTTTCAAGGTTTTATGTAAATTCTCTGTATGGAGTAATATGGTATGCCAAGAATTTATCCAACCGATTTTCTGAACCTTATCAAGAAAATTTGAGGTGAAATCTCGTTGAAGGGATTATTTTACCAAGACTATGATATACAATTCTTTTTATTCCATTTAGTAACATCCAATTAAATATTCCCATTAAAATCAAAATGTTATTTGATTCGAATTTATTTCAAAATTCCGAGGAATACCATGCATGACTTATGACATGAATACCAAATATAGCATTATATATTTTTTTTGCGGATGACACGAGATCTACTGCTGTTGTTCTTATAACTTTTTTTTATTAAATCTTGTAAATATGTCGTTTGAAGAAATTAATGAGATTGTAAGGTAAATTACTGAAATTACTGAAGTAGACGAAGTTTAATGAAATTGAACCAAGAGAAGTAACATGAAATATGGCCTTAACTCAGAACACACAAGCAAGTCTTCTGATTTATGCTCAGCTATTCTAAAACATGTGCCGTCTATGGATCGAACAAAATCAATCTTTTTCTTTAAAAAAAAGCCTAACGATATAAATCTGACTGAAAAAGAAAACTAACTTATGGAAATCTTTCTAACCAAATTTTATTAAAAAAATATCTCTACTTTTCTCTTATAAGTTTTTTTTGAAAACTAACGCTAACTTTTTTTATTTATAGGGTATGTTGAAAAAGTATGAGCCTATGCTAAAATTTTTAGAAACTTGGAAGATATGATGTTATGATATCATGGAAGTTGGAAAAATAATTTTTAATCGTAATATGTGAAAGGTTAAATGGAATATTTCAACCAGGACTATCTCAATGAGGTAAGTTATTTTTAAAATATTTCAAGACTTAATATACGGAATGAAATCAGCCATCCGTCGTGTAATATTTTTGTAAGCGATCCAATCAAAATCAGAGCCCAAGGAAAAAAAAATAAAAAATAAAAAATAAAAAAAAATGCCGATTTATCTCTACCTTCACATTTTCTTTAGGTTGAATCGCTTCCCGACTCATATATTTATTGAGAAAAAATCTTTATTTTTATTATTGATCTAATTAGAACTAAACCAACTTAGTATTTGGTTAGTATTTTAAATGTAACAAAATTTTGGCATTTGTTTTCGCGCCAAATAGAGAAATATTACTTTATCAATAATAATTAATTCTTGTCTAATTTTAATTTTTAAATTAATTTGAAACTAGGCAAATACTTACTTTAGTATCTTTCAATGAAAGTACAATCTACAAATTATAATTAAATTTAATTTATGGGAGATTTGATATTAAAACTCATGTTCGGATCATATTATTTCTCTTGAATCTGTAACTTGGCTTGTTCTATTTTTGAAGGATATGAACATCAATAAATGATATATTACATAGATGCTAATAGTGAATTAAAAATTTAAATCACTCCTGCTATGCTGCAATTTGATAATATTTAATCCTTATATATGAATTATGAATATAATAAAGCTTTGTCATTCATTAATTCTAGGCAATAAAAATATTTCTATCTAATTACATTATCAGTTTTGCAATTTTCGAAATATTCTAGTATAATTTATGTAAATAATCTTTCAAGAATTCTTAATTGGCTAATTATCTCTTTTTTAATTAGGTAAAAAATTAATGTATTCTATTTAGAACTTAAATAAATTTTTTTCCATCATTATGGATCAAAGCCAAATATATCATACTCAAGACTAGGGGTTGGATTGGGATATGACCCAATCATCAAGTGACCATGGTCGACTTTAAATTCGTTTATTTAAAGATAAATTTATCTGCATAAAATGTTTTTATTTCACTTAAACTTAAATTATAGAATCATATATTTTGAGAGACTAGAAAATTTCAAAGTCACTTTAAGATTATAATTTAATATTTTCGAAATTTAATATGTATATTATCATTTATTCTTATTAATAATTTCTTTTTATTCTTTGTGTTAACATATTAAAATAAATCATAATAAAAATTGTCATTTATATTATTATAATGAAATTATCTGAGAAGCAAAAGAAATATAATGTATAATTATAATAAAAGAAATATAAAGTTAAGTTAAACTTTAAAATCATTTTATTAATGATTTACCGAATAACATTCATCTATTTCTTTGTGCTAATTACTGTAAATATCGCAATTTTCACATGGTCTTAGACTGGTTTCTTATATCCAAATTTTATGATAAAAATCTGACTCCGTGTGTATGTTGTATGTGGTTTCTGGATATCGGTGGATACTGGATCTTGGCCGGCACTAATCCATCCCAACACTAATCTTAATTAATCTTAAATCTGGTCATCATTCCGCATCCACCTAAGTGAATTCAGAATCCACATAGATTTCATTCCTACCTACAACATATATAAGAGAATAGGGATAACCGGTTCGGCTCACCCTCAGGTTTTACTGCGCCAAAATTGGATCACCGGCAGAGGCAGTAATAGTGCATTTCTTGTATTCATTTAACATTTCATAATAAAAATATTTCTTTATTTACTTCAATTATTTTATTAGCTAAAATCGATTTACATGCTATTTTCGTTACATTGCTATCGTATAAACTAAATTATAAAACTATATATATAAATTACCTCCCTTACGCAAATAGTAGGTAACAGTATTTTGCAGATCGGTACGATCTTTTAAATAATTGTACCGTACTGAATTTTATGAGACCAGTACGTTACTATCATATATTCTGGAAAACTACCGTACTGATCAGCCTAAACGTACCGTACCGGTTTTCCTCCTCCCTTGTATATAATAATTAGTTTTATAATTGTTAATACAATTATTAATGATTTTGTAAATATAATCATTATAAAAATTTTGCAAATATAGATTGGACCAACCTTAATTTTATCTTAATATATGGTGTGTATTTTATTTGAAGTAGATATTTATAAAAAACTATTTCGTGATTTATATAGTAAACTAAAATCGATATACATAAATTTACTCATGCAGATCATATAACGTAAGAGTTAAAAATTTTTTATGTACTTCATGCTCTATTTAGAAGAATTTAACGAGAGTTTAAATACCGTAAATAAAAAAATATTTATTTCCTGAAATCCAAACATTAATACTCCCATTTTGTTGTCAATATGTCATCCATCCATAGAAAATTAATTAATGAAACATTAACCAGATTATTTACATTAATAAATGACAATGACATAGACAAACAGCATGAATTGAGACAGCAAGCAATTCTTGTCGATAAATCTCTTATGGAAGATGAAAAAGTAAAGGTAATGAAAATTTTAACTGACATTTATAATGCTTATAAAGATAGTTTAAATCTCGGGAAAAAAAGAAGTTGTGAGTTCTGCCAACAAGAATGTTTCACGATAAAATATTGTGAACTTTGCATTCGAAATTATTTAAATACAAATTTTTCAAATTGGACGTCCGGAAATATTGAAATCGATGACTTAATACAGAAATGTCAAATGGAAACAATTTTAGAACTTCGTGTAATTGAATGGATACCATATAAGAATTTACAAAATATAAATTATTTAACTAAAGGTGGATATTCTGAAATATACACAGCAGATTGGATTGATGGACATTGTATTGAATGGGATTCTGATACACAGCAATTAAACAGAAATGGAACAGAAAAAGTATACTAAAAAGGTTAGAGAACGTTGAAAATGCTAAAAGAAGATGGTTTGAAGAGGTATAAATTGTATAAATTGTTTAAATATACAGTTATGTAATTAAAAAGCTAAAATATTAAATTCTATTTATAGGCATATTCTCATTTGACATTAAGCAATAAATTGACAGGCTTAGTTAAGTGTTATGGTATTACTCAGGATCCATTAACAAAAGATTTCCATCTTATAATGCTTTTGTATGATAAAAATTTAAGGAAATATTTACAGTAAAATCATAACTAACTTGGATGGAATGAAAGAATTAATGTAGCTCAAAATATAATTTATAAAACTTGTTTCCTTCATAAAGAAGATTCAATACATAGGGATTTACATTCAGGAAATATATTATACTTGAAACATTTTAATTATTGGTATATTGGTGACCTCGGATTTTGTGGACCTGTTGAAAAACCATTAAAAAGTATATATGGAAATCTTTCTTACATAGCACCAGAAGTTATTTGTGGAAAAGAATATACTAAAGCATCAGATATTTACAGTATTGGTATGCTTATATGGGAAATATCAGCAGGACAACCACCCTTTGCTAATTTTGATCATGATTATGATCTTGTCATAAATATAGTAAAGGGAATTAGACAAAGAATTGTATCAGGAACTCCATTAGAATATAAAGAGATAATGAAAAATTGTTGGGATGCTGATCCATTAAAAAGACCTGATGCTTATACTCTTATGAACAAATTTAAAGTATTTTATAAATCATATTTACAAAAAAAAACCAAAGAGAATCATAATATCAGTAATAATAATAATAATAATTTAAAATTAATAAGAAACTTAAATATAAGCTCTAGTTCAATTAATTCATTTAATAGTAATTTTAGCAAAATTTATAGCTTTAAAGATTTACATGAATCTAGAAATGCTACTCAAGGTAAACTGGTAAATTTATTTATTATATTCATTATTAAATAAAATTTAAATTTTATTATTTTTTAATTACAGAAGAGCAAGAAGGTTGTTACTTAAATTTTTGAAATATTAAAGTTTAATTTAATATTAATTTGATATTTTCTTTTTTATAAAAAAAAGTTTATGATAGTATGCATTACAGTCTTAATATTTTAAATAGTAAGTAACACTTGTTTATATGTAATCATAAGAAATTTGATAATTAATTTAACTAAAAATAAATTATTTAAATATAAGACTGAACAGAATGTATCTACATCAATAATTAGTAGGAATATATATTTTAATATTTTGTTTTATTTGATAATTTAAGACTTTATATAAGTAATATTTACAAATATAAATATTGGCAAATCTAAAATGAATTCAGAAAACTTCATAATGGTAATAAAGTATTTTATTAATATTAAGCTTTTTAAATAATGACTAAATTTGTTATTATAATTTTTTTTTACTTTAATTAGAAAATCAAAAAGATTTTAAAAATTAAATCAAATAATAATAAAACTCATTAAAGGTAATGGTAAATAATAATATAAATGATTAAATTAGAACATATTGTAAGTATAAAAATGTAAAAAATAGATAAATCTAATTATTTATTACTAAAATTATAATTAATAATCTTATAACTGATAATAATTTAAATATTGATTTAGACAATCAGATAAGTAATGATTATTAAAAACAAAAAAATATTTAATATTATTAAATTAATATTTAAATAATTTAAATAATAATTATTTTTTAGATCATAGGATTTTGCAAACAAAGCTACCTGCCTAATTATTATAAATTCCTTCTAATTTACTTTTATAAATAATAAAATTTTTGTTTAAATGTATTTTATAAATATATAATATATTATAATAAGTTCTATTTTTAATTATATAAATAAAAATTTAATGTTACTTAAAAGCTAAAATTTATTTAATAAAATTTCATGATTATTCTATGATAGAATTTTTATAATTTACTTTTAACTATTAAAATAATAAAATATTATAATATTATTTATAAAGAAAAACTTTTATTATTATTATTTTTAAAATTTATTAAGAAATTTTATTGTTTTGATTGATAAAATAATTCAATTAGTATATAAATATATAAATTTTTAATAAATTTTTGAAACTTAATTTTAAAATCAAATTATTTTAAAAACTTTTTAAAAAACTTAAAACCTTTTTAATAATGTTAATAAAAAATATATCAAAATATATTTTTTATATAATAATGAATTATTAAAATTAATATTTAATATTTTATAAAAAAGTTAACAATTTTTTTTTAATTTTGAAGATAAATTTATTTGCTATACATTTAAAAAGATAGTATAAAACAAAAATAATTATTATTATGTTGAAATTACTTAAAAGCTAGAAATTTTAAATCAGTAATTAAAAATTTTCATATTTTCATTTTTATAACATTTATTTAAATATAGTATTATAGAGTAATAATTATTTTATTTGTAAAAGTTTAAATTTAATAATAAATATAACTAATCAATTTATAGAATATATATAATTTAATATTTTTTATAAAAAATATATCTTATTAATTAAGTAAATAAGAATTACATGTAAAAGAATAAAGATGAATGATATTGTTAAGTGAAATATTTTTATCATAATTCCTTCTTTAATATTTTTTTGATAATTTATTGAACCAGTTTTCTTTATATCAATCAATTATTTTTTATTTTTTAAGTTTCAATAATATTTAAATATAAATTAAAATAATGCATAAGTATCCTTATAAGTAATGATACCTGACTAAATGTTTTTTTGAAAAATTGTAATTTCGTCAAAAGTTTCGTCTCTTTAATATTTTTATATGAATAAATATAAAATTATTATATTTTTTAATGTATTTTAATTCAAGGAATTTAGATCAAATTAAATATAATTTTGGCAATTAAGTAAAATAATTTCGTCATTAATAAAAAACTAGTTTCGTCATTTTAGTTTCGTCAATTTCGTCATAATAAGAAAGGTAATTTCGTCAGGTATCACTACTTATAAGTAATATACTATATATCCAAAGTATATAATATATAAAGTTATAATTAAGCTAAAAATCCTAAGTCTTATTATAATTAATATATAACCTTTTTATTTATTCTAATATTAGCTATTTAGTTTTCTGATAATAGAAATATTATAAAAATGAACTTAATAGATATTATTCAAGAAATTATTATTTTTATAAGTATTTTTATTATAATGATTTTTAATTAATGATAATACAGAATTATTTATAATTCTACAATACTTATATTTGAAAAATACTATTCTGAACTGTTCAAATACTATAGGTTAAATGCTGATTAATTGTGTAACTTTCTGATTGTTTACTTTTTGATTAGCAATCAATAGATAGCAATCAGTAAATTCTACAATTGAATATGAATCAGCTGATAATTATTAGGTAAAATTACATAAATTAGGTTAACTTACTTTTACATTTATTTTAAAAATTATAAACTACATGTTCAATATTAATAATTAACAATTAGTTATCAATCAGTTTAATATTCGATTTATAAATATTATTTAATTAAATTGCTAATTGGTAACAATTTACTAATAAGTTTCATTAACAATTCTTAGTAAAATTTGTAATAATTAATGAAATTGGTAATTGTTAAATTTTGTTAACAATTGAGATATGTCATCACTTCGTTAATGATTTTTTGTTAATAATTAGCATATTTTCATTAAATGTTAACAAATTTTATTAACAATTAGCATATTTTCGTCAAATTATTAAAAAATTTTCATTAATAATTAATATTTTCATCAATCTGTTAATGAATTTCATTAAATAATAAATATATTTTTCTCCATTCGTTATCAATTGTTAATGAATTTTTATTAATAATTAACAAATTAATAAATTTTAGTCAATTTATTAATAATTAATATATTTTATCAATTCGTTAATAATTTTTTGATAATAATTAATATTCATTAATAATTGACACATTTTCATTAATCATTAATGAACTTTATTTGATAAATGATATATTTTTATCAAATCATTAACAAATTTTCTTAATATAGATAAATTAATAAAATTCATTAATAATTTGATAAAAATATGTCAGTAAGTAATAAAAAAGTTGTTAATGAATTAATAATATTTATCTATTTAAAGATGAATTCTTTAATATAAAGATAATATTAATTAATTCGAAAATAATTTTTATCAATAACAAATTTTATCATTTTAAATATAAATAATGCATTCAAAAATAATTTTTGCATTAAGTGTGATTTTTATTAATCGATAATGAATTTTGTCATTTTGAATGCTAGTATTTGAATATGAATTTTATCTTCTATATACTTTTTATATATAATTCATTTACTATAAAATTGAGTATCTAATAAATTATATATATTTAAACTTTTTTTTTAGAAATTAAAATCTTTGCACTTTCTTCTTTTCTTTTAAGATTTTTTTTTTAAAAAAATATATATCTTATTTCATTCTTTTTTATAATTATAGACCTTTTTTTTTTTTTAATAAAAATAGATTTTTTTGCTATTAGCTAAGGTAAGGCTACAAATTAATCTTTAGTAATAGTTTTTTAGATTTTACTTTTTTTTAATAGAAGTAAACCTTTTTTACTATTGGTTAAGATAAGTTTACAAATCAGGATGATTGTTTTTCAGATGTTTGCTAAATTTTTTCTTTTTTTAATAAAAATAATTTTTTTGTTATTATTTAAAATAAGTTTACAAATTAAAATGGTAGTTTTTCAGACTTTACTACTTTTTTCTTTTTTTAATAAAAATTGACTTTTCTTACTTATTGGCTAAGAATTACTATTAATTAGGATTCTTTTAGTAATAGTATTTAGATTAGTATTAATTTTTCTTTTTTAATAAAAAATTGGCTTTCTTGCTATTATTTTTAGATTTTTAGTAATTTATTTTAATAAGATAGACTTTTTTTCTTATTATCTAAGTATTTTACAAATCTAGTAATAGTTTTCAAATTTTTACATATTTTTTCTTTTTTTAATAGTAGTAGATTTTTGCAATTGGTTAAGATAAATTTACAAATCAGAATGATCGTTTTTTAGACTTTACTAATTTTTTTTAATAGGAGTATACTTTTTTTGCTTATTTACTAAGATATGTTATAAATCAAAACTTGTTTAATGATGACTTTCAAATTTATACTAATTTTTTTTTTAATAAAAATTGACTTTCTTGTTATTGGTTAAGATAATAAGTCTACAAACTGAGATGGTGGTTCTTCATATTTTTAGTAATTTTTTAATAAGGATAGGATAAACTTTATTTGCTTATTAGCTAAAGTTTATCTACAAATCAGATTCTTTTGGTAATGTTTTTTTGGATTTTTACTAATTTTTTTTTTAATAGTATTTAAAATTAAATATTAAAATAAATATAATAAAAATTAATTAATTTGAATTAAAAATACTGTATATTAAGCAAATCAATCATATTGACTAAATTTAGCTTTATTTAGTTTAATTTAACAAAATAAGACTTTTTATCAATTTTATTGATATATAGTTTAACAATATATTAATTTAAAAGTTAATTAAACAAGATAATAAATTTTTTTATTAGAAAATAATTAATTAATATGGATAAATTATTATAATATACTGTTAGTTATATTAAATTCACCATTCAATTTTTAATTTATTTTATTTATTTTTTTTTTAATTTTTTACAATTTCTTTTTTATAATGTCTATTCAAAAATATATTCAATAAATCAATTTTTTTTTATATAAAACATAAAAAAAAAATAATTATAAAAGTGAAAGTGATATTGATATTATAAGTCTAGAATAAAGATGCTCACCGAAACGCCCTCAAAATAATTTCGTCATACTTCCTTCATTATGTTTTAATATAATTTCGGCTGTTTATTAATTGCCTTTTTTGGGTTTCGTCCCTCATCTTTAGTCTAGAAAATAAATCTATTGAAAATAAAACAAGGTATCGCAAAAAACAATGCTGTAAGAATGATTTTAGAGCAGTACACTAACTTTTGAAGATCTCCTGTTCTTTTGCTCTGTGTATTCATTGCTCCGTCTTCCTGTGCTAAAATTTCGGTACCTAATGACTTGAGGAAACCTTTTCCATCTAATCTGGGACCACTACGAGTAGCAATATTTAAAATTTCTTTCAATTTATCATATGACCTGGACGCTACTTCTCCACATTTTAATCTCAAATCAGCCTTTCCAAGGAAAGCATTTCTGAACATTGGTGTCCAGACATATGCATTAAATTCAGTTTCCGTTAGAGTCTGTGTAAGTACTTCATTTTTGTATAAGAACAGGAAATGGAGAAAAAGATTTTCAACATAAATGAGATCGTTTGAAGAGGTGGAATGATTGATTCGATTTTTATCTAAACACTCCTCTAATGACTTCAAGTCATTAATGTAATAAAACTTTTCTAGGTACTGTAAAACCTCCTCTTCGCAATCTACTAAAAATTTGTTAATACATTTCCCTTCTGAAAAATGTACTGCATCATCAGCATTTTGCACTTGATCTGCTATATATTTCTTGAACACTTGAGGCAAATATTTGAGACATTCGGCATTGTGAATATCAATGACACCAATCGATAAAGGACTTTTTGAAATTTGACTTTTTTTCGTGGTTTTCATAGTTGAGCGTGCAAATGTCATAACGTCAACATCCCCATATATTAGTTTGTGATCCGGAAGAACGTGCATTTGAAATGTTTTCAAAACTTCATCTGCTAGATCAAGGTTAATATATTTTCTTCCTCCTTTGGCTGCATCAAAAGGTTTTCTATTCGTTGATTTTATATTAATTCTAGTTAGATCGGTGTTATTGTCATCCAAATCATATGCAGGTTGCTTATTCCCTGGCGAGTCTTGCGGCTGTGTTTCGCTAACTTCGCCATTTAAGCTTGAATCTATTTGTGTCACAAAAAAGATGTTTTCGAGATGAATCGGCGCTATGTTATCATTATCTGAAAAATGATTATATAGATGCGGCGATGATTCGACATCGATGATTCTGATCTATGTATTTAAATTATAAAATTAAAAGTGTTTTTTTTTAATTAACATACTAAGTTACATTCTAACCTTGTTAGACGGAGTTGAAGGTGGTTTTTCCCCACCAGATCGTTTTAGTCTACCTGCAGAACCATTCGAACTAAATCTTTCCATATAATTTAATTTTTGGTTATTTAAAACTTTGTGTGCTTCGTTCCCAGCCTTAGAATGGTCTAATACAAACTCGGCCTGTAATCTATAATTAGTAAAGTTTCTACATAATTTGAATATTTAATATACCACAACAAAATAATACATGCCTTGGACAGTTCTATATTCAGCTCTAGTTTTGCTTTTTTTTGCTCAAGAATGCCTTGCGCCATTTCCAGGTCGATTTTCATCTAGAATGTTTTGACATCTTCCGCTTGTGCTTGATTCTTAATAGGTAATGTGTAAGATTTAAAATGGAATATTTGAAGTTAGTCAAAGCCAGTTTAATGACCATCCTGTCCAATTTTATTCACAATAACGAGATTTAATAAGAGTACACTATATCAAGTTAAATTTTTTATAGAAAAGATTTGGTTAAAGACAAGCTTGGTATGAAGCCCACCGGAGACGTACTCCATAACTAACCCGAGGCGTACTCAGGTCGTTTGGTGGTTGCATCGACACGTAGTCCGACTTCATATTGCACTTAGAAGCCCACCGGAGACGTACTCCATAACTAACCCGAGTCGTACTCAGGACGCTTGGTGGTTGCATCGACACGTAGTCCGACTTCTATATCTTTCTCTTTTCTTCTGCCACTACAACAATAACGATAAATCCTACTTACTTTTACTGAAATATTATTAGCTGCATCAACCCATCTCTGGTCAGTGCCGGATTTAATAATTTCTTCCAGAAATTTTGATATCGCAAAATGTTCTTCACGACTGTTGTAGGTAAAGTCACTCTTCGTACGACGAAACTTTAGGAGGGACAAGAGGGTAAGTTCTTCAGGATGCAAAATTGTTTGCCATCCATAAAATGATAGTTTTCTGACCGACATTTTGAGAACAAGTAATAAAAGTAATAAAGGAAAGAATTGTTTGTTTATTAACGTGACAGATATGGCGCGTGATCGACCCAAAATTTATAAGTGTGGCGCAAGTCAATTTCCTAATGTCACGTGGGGTGAAATATTTTGTGGAAATTTCGGAAAGGATACTTCGGACTTTTCTTTCCGTTCCGAATGACCTTTGTAGTTTGTTTATTTTGTTCTTTTTGACATCAGGATCATTTAAATTGTCAATCCGCAATTCTTTGGTATTTTAAGGAATTCCGTAACAAAGCCTGGGAAGAAATTTTAGCTATAAAAACACTTCGTTTTTCTCTTAGTACAATAGAGTTAGATAGTACTCTTCTGCTTAGTCAGGCAGTAATAGTTGATGTTATTCGAACTTTATTTTATTTTATTTTATTAATAAATTCTTTTTCATCGTTTGTAAATCTTTTTTCATTTTTAATTTGAGTGATCAACATTCGTCGACATCGCATAGTAAATCGTTTTATTTAATAAAGAGCTTTTCTTACCAACTATCCCCGATGATTTTGTTAAATACCATCCCTTATGTATAACCCTAATCCTTATCCTAACTCTAACTAACCTAAGTGATAAATAATGTGTGACAAATAAGGATTTCATCACCGAAAATTCTCTGTTACTAGAATAATTTGTAAAAATGATAAAGTTTTGAGGTGTGACATAGGTGACAAATATATAGGAACAAATCATCTGGGATGATCTAAAGAAAAACTATACTTTTTAATAAATAAATAAATTATTTTAATTATTTGCCTTACGAAAATAGGAGATAACTCTAGGAAGTGAAAATTACGATCGATCAATAATTGACATTAATCTATTTTTATAATAAATACAATATGTTATAATATAAAGTAAATAATTGAGTTTGTCGATATTTATTCAATGGACTATCTACCTCCATCACAATCAAAAAAAATAAAAATCAAATTTTTTTTTAACGAAAAAATTAATGCGATATGAAACTAGTGGTAATACATTTTTTAAGGAAAGATTAAGATAAACTTTAAAGCTAATCTTCTTATTATCATATCCGTATTGGTATTTGCATTTGTTATTAAACAATACCTATAAGTAAGTGGAATGACTCGAAATACAGCAATAATTCCTTTCGTTTATCGATATTCCCTAAAATCATTAAAAATATGAATAAAAAATTTGATTTGGTTAAAAAAGACGTAAGGTACAAGGAAATTTGAACGGAATTTTTTGGAACGGAAGTAGGATCAAGTTACGAGATATAGTATCATATGATTCGTAATGTGATTTTACTGATATATGTTTTTTAAGCACTCTAAAAGATGATTGATATCGATGATACTTATGAACCACAGATTTTGACGGACGATTGCGGAAAAGACCTTCGCGAAGGAATATCAGATCAGAAAGACACGGAGTATAATATCTTTCGGGCGAATCAAAAAAATTTGATGGTGAAATTATTGGAATTTTGTACGCGGTCAACTTTCGGCTTTTTTGTGCAACGACGATAAAAATCAATAAAAGATAAAGGTTGTACACTTATTCTTAGATACTGGTTTCCCAGTGAACTGGTTCGGATGTATTGAATTCATTCGGTGTGTCTGCAATCAGATCTAATGATAAAATTTCAGTAGAAATCAAACATTAGTTATGATGTCACCAACAAATTCACATTTTAATGAAATAAATCTTATTACAACGGATCGAAGTTTATGGTCTTATCTAGATCATTTCTATCTGCAGATTGCTTTTCTTTGAAATTGAATTTTCATCAATAGAAGAGGCAGAGACTTAAAAGAAAGCCTGGTTATCAATTAATTATTCAAAATACATGCAGCATAAAAATTGATACTTTTGGAAATAAATACTTTGCTTATACTATGACCATTATTTATTCTTAATTCAAATTAATAAAAAAGAAGAAATTCTTATATAACAAAACGATGAAACTTATTTTTATTTTTATTGATACTAATTAACGACTTATGTAATATGAGGGAATGTTTAAAATTGTGAAAAATGGTTTTTAATTCATTAATTCTGAATTAATAACTTCTTATTTTGACATTACCAAACTTTTCACCAAGTAATTAGAATTTCAACTAATACAATATTACACATATGATTTTAAAGGGTTACCCTTTCTCTTGCATAACTAATTTCTTATAGTTGAAGTAAAATCTTAAATTGGCAATTAGTTTAAGCCTATAATCAATATTTTTAAAATATACTTCACAGGTTACAAAGCGGTAAGTTGTTTTGTCTTTTTATATTGCCAAAAGGAGAAGTAGATTTATTATTATCACTTTGTTGGTATAGCTCGAACCTTTTAGCGATTAACACACTAGAGAAATTAATCGATTCACGTACTTAGCTCTACAGACTCTGGTTAGAATCTAGTAAAACACGTTAGATCCAGCAAATCACTAAAAAAATTATTTAATCAACGAATCTTCCGGCAAAAACAGCAAAAATCTAAAGAAACATTGAAACAAGAAAAATTCAAAAGAATCGTTAAAATCAATTTAAATAAGAAAATCATGAAATTTTAACTGAATCATTGACTATCAGATTCATTGAATTAATCACGAAACTTAATTCTTTATTACAAATATAATAATACTTATTCATCGTTCTTAAATTGAATTTAATCGTTCGACTCGAACGATTACCTCATCAAATCATCATAGTTTCGAAAGACAATTTTAATCATTTATTTACTCATCATCTTCGAGAATTTAGAGAATTTAATCGCTTGTATTGAATGTTGTCTTTATCAATCGATGATTTTAATCATGATTTAATCGTTCATAATCGTTATGGATGATGATTTATAAAATTTATGTTTATCATAGTTATTGTGTTATCGAGTTTATTATTATTCGTTTCAAAATATACTTTTATCATCGTTCTTGATTCCTAAGACTACATCATCAAATCATGCAATAATTTGAAGACATTTTTTCTTAACATCACCTTGGGATGTGATTTTATGCTGTAGATCGTACTACTGTAATTCACTTGCCAAATTTAATCTTATTTTTAATAATAACTTATTTGTAATACGAAAACTAATTTAAATTTAATAGAAATTAATTCGTCATTAATAATATAATTTATATTATTTTATTGAGTAATTATTAATTTAGATTCTTGGTAAGATAATGCATAAATATTTCAATTGTTTTAATTTGATTTTCTATAAAACACTGATGCTCAATTAGATAGAAACAAATGAAAGTTACTACTACTTTATATGTGTGAAGGTTTGTTGTTAAATTAGAATGAATGTTACATAATTACTTTTGATAATTTTTGGTAATAATTTAAAAGAGAGTTACATCTTAATAAGTTTAGAATAAGAATTTCAACTAAATCATTATGAATAGATACAAATTTATACAATATTATTACTGTATCATCTTTAATACCACTTTTCTGACTTTTGTTCATCAAATTTTACAGTTTTATCTAGATTTAAAAGGATTTTAATTTCATCTTTAAACCTATTTACTAAATTTTCATGATCGGTCTTTAACATTAAATCTTCTTTAGGATTATTTAACATGGCTATCCTTCTTAATTCATCAGATTTATACGGAGAATTATACGATACTATATTACTGGATCAATGTCTATATCTTTAATTTTTTGTTGTAAATCCTCAATCGGCACATTATAAAAACTATATCAATAAAAAAGTAAGCATATATTGATTGTGTATGTGAAATCGATTATAAATAACTTACATGACATTTTCGTTGATTTGGCAACAGGAAAAGCTCAATTTCAATCAAAACATTAGCTTTTTCAATCATAAATAGGGAATGAGTTCTATTATTTTCAATTTCCAAGTTTAGAAACCCAATAAATAAATTCATGAGATAAACCACAATCAAGAATGAAAACATGACTAATAGAGACGTCATGAATGGATTTTCCTGATAAGTCCATGATCCTAGTGCCGATTAATCACCCTTTAAAAACAAATACATGGCCAAGATTGAAGTTTGAAATGTGGAAAATTGATTCAATTTAGAATTAGGCTGTTGAATAAAAGTTGTTTCGGTACTTATCTCTCCATTTGGTGAAACTGATTGATATTTTGTAACGAGATTCCAGGGATTATTCGGATCAGCATTTTGTTCAAATTATAACTTTGATCTGGGATCAAGGTTATATAAAAAGCATGTGCAAATCCAATTCTGATAATAAATAAGGTCAATATAAAGGAAAAATTCTCTTAGCCACACCGAAAATTATAGTAAAAGTAATCGAGAGCTCGAAGATATTTTATAAACTTGAAATATAAAAATAGATTTGATATAGAAATCAATTATGATGGAGGTTTACATAATATATCCAAAAGAAAGATTTGTATACTGGAACAATATGGGAGCTGATCTATTAAAAGTGAGTTACGTGACATAGTAAATCATATGATCCGTACCTCAATTTTAATAGAGTACTACCCATATATGCAAAAAGATCTAAAAAAAAATAAAACATAATAAATATATATATTAATAAATAAAATTCTATTTTGATACATACCAAACCAATTCCATAGATCTTTGATATACTTTTTACAATCCCAGATAAATTGTCTAATTTCATGAACAATAAGTAAAAAACCAAGAATAATGTTAATTCTTAAAAAAGTATTTCTCGTATCATTTGTCATAATAGAAGAAGATAATGTTGTACGTATTCCGAAAATGAGCAAATATATGATGAAAAATCCCCAAAAAGATAATAATATAATCTTCCAAAGTCATTCCATTTAAAATTAATTTTCGCCTTAGCATTTCAACCATCGCAAAACGATTGGTCAACTAACGTAACAAATTGGCTGTTGTTTGGTCTTAGTAATTCATTAAAGTATATGTAACCAGGTGGATACTTTGTAATACCTGAATAAGGTACGACAAAATTAATAAAATCTCTTCCTATTTGATCTTTCTTATTATTATAATGTATAATCTTTTGAAAGACTTGACTGATTTTCAAATCTCGTCGAATGACATAATTTTCTTTACTACTATATACTTGAATGTAATGATCTTCACAAGTATAACCGACCAATTTCACTCTGATAGATGTATTTGGAGTAAGTGAGGTAACCGAAATGCACTTTGAGTAAATAATAGGAAAATGTAATTTTAAATCTGGCAGATATTTAATGAAAATGATAATATCACAGATTCTGATACTCATCGCAATATCTTTAGTTAATGATAAAATTAATTTGTTAAAAGTAATAGCTAAAATTTCACCACTTTTCCGTTCAAAAGCCTGATTGATTATTTTAACGATCATAATTGCAAGATACTTTATTGAGCATAGGAATTCATCAATTACTTCTTGTGGTGAAATTGATTTAAATGCCAAAAGATACATATCTGGATTTGGAAGGCTTTTTCTCTCAATGAATCCAAGTCTTGATTGCTCAAACGAGTTATTTCAAATCTGTTTATTATTTTAATCAATTAAAATTGGATTAAATCTGATTTGATCCAAATCTGAAACTTAAATTTAATTTGATTTGAATCTGATAAAAATCTTATAAATGAAGCTATTTTGATCAAACGCGCTTAAATAAACACGCTTGAATTAGACTATATGTACTCTTTGTTTGAAGCATAATTGAAGCTCATATTAAAACTAGCTTGAAGAATGTTTAGAACACATGTTAAACATGTTTATGAAAGTTTGTGCTCAACTTGGTTAAGCATATTTTATTGAAGTAATGTAGCATCTCTTGAGTTTAAGATTGATGATTATGAAGTATTTCATGTCACTAAGAAAATTACGAATTTTTTAATGATCGATGCAAATTTTTCTGGAAAATGATGAATACGTTTTCTATTAACAATTCCAAAAATATTCATTATCACTACATAAAATTGTTGGGAGATCGATAAAAAACGAGAATTCCTCTCAAATTTTCGGGATACCGCTAAAATATCATTGGTCTTAGTAGAGCATCATCTTTTCTCTGGTAATAAGGTCAAAGTTATTAGGTCCAAGACAGTACATTTTTAGCATGTGATTCTTAAAAATAGCTAACGAATACATCCGGAAGACGTCTAAACATTACGAACTTTATCACATTGAAAACGAGTTTTTGGATAACCAAACAAACAATTTAGGTTCTTCTGTAACTTAATTTGGGCTTAAATTCTTAATTACAAAAAATATTTAAAAAAGGTCTGAAATATCCAATCGCTTTCTCTAACTCATGAAAATTTTTATTCTGACTATATGTCACAAAAGCCTTGCAAAGTATCCAGAAACCATTTTGTAAATGCTAATTTGCTTATTTATTCGCAGAACTTCTGAATAATTAAGTTTGCAGCTTCATCCAAAAGTTAAAAACTGGTTAAATGGGAGTTGATTAGTTTAAAATTTAATAATTAACAACATCATACAAAAATTTCCATATCATAAATAAAATTTTTATAAATTCACGGGATAACTATTAATTATCGGCGAATTCTTCAAAGAAACGCTTGACCCATATATCAAATTTAAAAACATGCAGATATTCTTAAATGTCCAATACTCTTACAAGAGCTGATTAACAAAGCAAGGATATACTACAGTTTAGGAAGGAATAGGAAAAACTATTAGTTTGTTAGAGGCGCACCATTTTTATTTTTAATATTTCGATTAACTCGCAGTAATATAATTTTTTGTTTTTGATTTATCTCGAGTTGAAGTACTTAGCAATGATATTCTATTTTGTTTTCATTTTTTTTTGATTCATTTCGTTGTTATTTTTTATGGGTTCAACCAAATCGTACAGCAATAAATTATTTATTTTCCGTCCGTTTGTATTTTAATATGGTCTTTCTTTATTTATTCCTTCACATTTAGGTTGCTAGCTTTGTAAAGGCATAGGATAATTGATTCCAATCCCTAGTAAAATATGTTTCCCAAAAATAGTATAATAATGCTAATAATGCCATCTTACAAAATAGCCTTCCGAATAATATTCCAATTGCAACGACTGCGCCTTCCACAATTTTAGTAACGTTGAACAAAATCATCATGTGATATTTACTTTGCGATACGTAGAACAAAGGTTGTACAGAGCGATCATATTCTATTTGGAATAAAACACGGAGTTTTATTCCCGTTAAACTTTTTTTTTGAATAAATTTTATATCATTGCATTATGTCCTCCATTCGTAGGGAATTAGTTAACGATGCATGTGATAGAGCATATGCATTAACCGATTATAACCTTTACTCAGATATTGACAAACGTCATGAATTTAGACAACAAACAATTTACGTTGACGAATCTCTCACAAATGAGGAAAAATCAGAGGCAATAAGATTATTTATTCTGAATTATGACTATGAGAAAATTACCTTAAATCAAGGAATGAAAAGAGTTTGTGAAAATTGCAAACAAGAATGTTTTGCAATAAATTATTGCGAACATTGCATTCGAAATTATTTAAAATTAAAATTTTCAGAATGGACATCGCGAAATAATGAAATTGATAATTTAATAAAGAAATGTCAAAAGGCAGCAATTCAACCTTTTAGCATAGTTGAATGGATCCCATTTGATAAATTGCAAAATATCAAATATTTAACTAAAGGTGGATGTTCAGAAATATATACGGCAGATTGGATTGATGGACGTTATTGCGAATGGGGTTCTATCAAAAAAATATTAGTAAGAAGTGGAAGTCAAAAAGTCATACTTAAAAGACTAGAAAATGTCAAAAGTGCTAATAGAAGTTGGTTTGAAGAGGTATGTAATTTTAAAGTATTATTAATTGTTGTTTTTTTATAAAAAATATAGAAAAAGAAACTAATCAATCAAATTTTAATTAATAGGCTGAATCTCAATTAATATTAAGCAGTAAATGGGAAGACTTCGCTCAATCTTACGGTCTTACTCAAAATCCACATAATAAAGATTATTTTCTTGTAATGGTTAAATTCAAGATAGATTTAAGAAAGTATTTACAACAAAATCATAACCAACTTACATGGAAACAAAGAATCAACATAATTGTAAACATAATCAATGCAATTTTACATCTTCATCAAGAAAATTCTATTCATAGAGATTTGCATTCAGGAAATATATTATATTCCGAAAATAGTGGCGGATGGTATATTAGTGATTTTGGATTTTGTGGACCTGCTGATAAACCATTAGGAAGTATATATGGAAACCTTCCTTATATAGCGCCTGAAGTAATTAATGGAAAAGGATATACTTTTGCATCAGATATTTATAGTATCGGTATGCTTATGTGGGAGATTTCATCTGGACAACCACCTTTTGCTCATTTTGACCATGATTATGAGCTTACAATAAATCTATTAAAAGGAATGAGACCACAAATCGTACAAGGAACTCCAACAGAATATAAAAACTTAATGATTCAATGTTGGGATGCTGATCCTTTAAAGAGATACGATATTAAAAACCTCCATGATAAAATTACAGAAATACTAAAATCGTATTATCAAAATGAAAATAAAGAACAAAACAATAATTTTGACAATACACAATCAAATGCAAAACCAGAACCTAATATAAATTTAAACTCTAATGGTTCATTAGTCAGAACATTTAGTAAACTTTACACTTTTAAGGATTTACCTGAACCAAGAAACGCCACTGAAGGTAAACTATTATATTTATTTATTATGTTCATTATTAAAGTAAATTTAAATTTTTTTTATCTTTTAATTTACAGAAGAGAAAGAAGGTTGTTGTCATTTAAATTTTTTAAATATTAAAGTTTAATTTAATATTAATTTGATATTACTTTTTTTTAAAAAAAGCTTACGATAGCATGCATTACAGTCTTAATATTTCAAATAGTAAGTAATTCTTGTTTATATGTAAATCAAAGAAATTTATTAATTAATTTGACTACTATACAGAAAAAAAACGTGTCTATATCAATAATTGGTAAGAATATATTTTTTAATATTTTTTTTTTTTTAAAATTACGTTACTTTGATTTTATAATTTAAGAATTTATAATTAATGTTTACAGATATGAATAGTGGCAAATCTAAGAGCAATTCTTATAACTTCTTAATGGTAATGAGTCATTTCGTTATTATTAAGCTTTTTAATTACGATTAAACTTGTCATTATAATTTTTTTTTTACTTTAATTAGAAAATCAAGAAGATTTTAAAAATTTAATCAAACAAAGATAAGTAATAATTTGAAAAGTTTTATTTTAATTCTTAATATTTTACTATCAGTAAATGTTTATTTTAAGAATTATTCATACTTAAATTGGAGCGCATAATAGGCATAGCGAGCGAGATAAAAAAAAAAAAGAAAATCTAATTATTTATTACTAGATTATAATTTAATCATTATAATCTCATTAGATGATAATGAAAATATAATAACATTAATTATAAATATAAGTATTAAACAATGATAACTTATTACAATGTTGAAATTACTTAAAGGCTAAAAGTTTTAAATCGGTAATTAAAAGTTCGTTTTTTTATATTTCATACATACTGTATTTATTTATACATAAGGTTATAGAGTGGCAATTACTTTATTCGCAATATACCTAAATTCAATAAATAAATAAATCACATGATTTAATATTTTTTAAAAAATACATTTCATTAACTAAGTAATCAAGAATTATATGTAATAGAATGAGGATGAAAGATATTATTAAACCTTCATTACCAGATTTTTTAATAACAATATTGTGAAATTTATTATATTGTATGATAACAAAATTTAATAATTATACCAGATTTCCTTTATTTTTTTTTTATTTTTTGAGTCAAACCCAATCGCAACTAAAGCCCAAGTAAATAATATAAAAATAAACTAACAAAATATACAATATGTAAAGTATGTAAAGTTATAGTTAAGCTAAAAAAATCTTGCTTTACATGACATTTTATTTGCTCTAATATTACTATATTTCTATTTTCGTTTCTGATAATCGTTTGTATCCGCTAAAAAGACGAATTGTTTATCAATTATTCAAGAGATCATTACTTTTATATACGAGTTCTTATTAGTTAAAATTAAATTAGCGTTCCCGTTGCAGGCTAATTTTTTATGTTATCATAATACATTCGAATTAGAACATATCGGAGTATTATTTTGAATATATATTATTGAAGTTGAATTATATAAAGTTCTTCATTATCGTTAATTTAAAACCATAATTCATAAAAGTTGATAGTAGGTGAATGTGTTTTAAATTTATCGAACTGAAAATATTAATAATAAAAGAAAACAACTTGTAAGAAATTACCTATAAAAAAAATAATTTAATCCAAGATCATCTAAAAAAAAAGAGAAAGAAAAATAAAGGAAATTAATGAAATATTCAGAAAAATTTTCATGGATTCAAACTGAATCGAAAACAAACGAAAAGAAAAGAGCATCAAGTCTTCTTGGAATGAATAATAATTAGGTCATTGCACGCAGAATCTTAAAAAAAAAAAAATATCAAAAATAAAAAATAATTATTACCAAAGAGAAAACTTAAAAAACCATCGATCTTTAAATTGCTGTTCGTTTTATCCTTTTACGTCTTAGATTTTTCCTAGACTTAGAAGGTCTAATGGTATTTCATTTGCCTATAGAGTAAATAACATAAAGCCTTAGCATTGTTGGAGATTTTCGATTGCGAGGGAAGAAATTCAGAAAACAATTCTTGGGTATATAAAAACTGTTTTAATTGTAATGGTTATTGAAACATATAGAAATAAATCATCTGTCATAAAATATAAATTTGCAAGAACACTTTCCTTATTTTACAAAGTCAATTTATAAAACTTTAAAAAGCCTTTTTTCAATGATTTCAAATAGTGCTATCTTATCAATATCTTGGATATCATTATCGTCGTTGGAATTAGAGAGATCATAATACAAACCAAATCTCTTAAACTAATTGAGCTTTGAAATAGAGGTTGGAACCAGTTTTATTTTCACAAACCGGTTTAAACACTTTTTTAATTTGAGATCCGAATTTAAACCGAATTTAAAATAAAACCGATTCAACCGGGCATTCGGTTGTAATAAAACCGAAAAACCGAATTTTATTATTGCAATTCATAAAAATCTCACAAAAAAATTACAAAAACTTCGAAGGAAAAATTTGTTAAAGTTACACAATAAAAATAAAAATTTGATGGAATGATTTCGTAAGGATCTAACAATTTGCATGAAATAAATGGAGAAATTTTTTAAAAAAATGTCGCAAAAAATTGAATCAATAATTAATTTCTTTTATAATATATAATTTTTTTTTTCAAAAAAAAAATAATTTAAACCTTACTATAATGTCATTATCGAAATTATATAATAATATTGCATAATTATCAAATGCTAACAAAACATAAATATCATATTATAGGATTTGATTTTAAACCAGTTCAATCGGTTTTATTAAATTCGAATTTTTGCAATAAACTGATTTTATTAAAACCAGTTTTCGAATCTAAAAAAAATAGACACGATTTTATGTTGGAACTAGTTTAAACTGAATTTAAATCAATTTACACCAAACCGGTTCCAACTTCTAGCTGGTATAACTTATTTTTATAAAGAAAACTTAAGGTTCATTTAAATGCTTACGCAAAAAAAAAATAAAAATAAAAATAATATTTCATAAGATACTTGAAGATAAATAATTAAATCCCTTAAATTTCAAAGTAGCATAAGAAGGATCATTATGTATATGAGTCTAATATGTTTGAACTGCACTATCCGCATTTATAATCAAATCTTCCTTATCTTTGGATGTCTCAAATAATCAAAATAAAGTTTCTTCATTTTCACCTACACAATGATAATTTCCTATAAAATAAATTTAATAATTAAATTAATTTTAAACTAAGTATAATATTATATAATTAAAATTTAATGAAATATTTACCTTCAATTATTTTAAAATTTTGCATATTATAATGCAAAAA